AATCCAGAGGTGGGAGTGGAAGAGATAAAGCCAAATGCAGCCAGATGTTTGGGAGCTGCCTTAGGGAAGAGAGAGAGAGAGAGAGAGAGAGAGAGAGAGAGAGAGAGAGAGASAGAGAGAGAGAGAGAGGAAAACCACAGATGGCAGCAGGAAGGAGTGCCTACTGGGGTGTTTGGGGACATGTAACATGTCTTCATTTGCTTCTGTGTCCCTCCAAGAGATGTACGTCCACCTTGGATTGGAAAGTGCTCAGAGGGTTCAGTTGGTTCCATTCAGGGATCTGAAGCCCCCCTTAGTCTTTTGAAATAAACTTGTAATTGAAGTGTAACATATACAYGGAAAAATGCACACAGTATCAGTGCATACAGCTCCACGACTTTCCAAAAGTGGACACACCCATGCCACCAGTGTCAGATCAAGAAACAGAACGTCACCTGCACCACAGAATCCTTCCACAGCCTCTCCCAATTGTACTCCCCAGGGGCAGCTACTATCTTGATTTCTACCACCATAAATTTGATTTGCCTATTTTTGAACTTTATATAAATGATATCATAGAGTGTGTATGGCAACTTTGGAAAACAGTTTGAAAATATCTATTTAGGCTAATCCTATCTCTCCCATGACCTTAGCATTTCTCCCCTGGGTATTTACTCAAGAAAACGAGGGCTTATGTGACCATGAGACTTTTACTAGAATGTTCACAGAAACACTACTCTTGGCCAGAAATTAAAAACAGTGAATGCTCAACAGCAGTGGAGGGGCTAAAAACAATTGTGCTATGTTCACACAATGGAATATTATAACAGTGAGCAGCAGCTACAGCTGCAGAAAACAAATGGGCGACGCTCTCAAACAATGTTCAGTGGAAGGAGCCAGATGCTACTAGCACAGGTTGTATGTGCTAATAAGTTTAGTCTCTGTGACCAAAATACCTGAGAAAAAAAATTTAGATCCCAGTGGCTCAGGAGGCTGAGGCAGGAGGATTGCAAGTTCAAAGCCAGCCTCAGTMATTTAGCAAGACCCTAAGCAACTTAKSGAGACCCTRTCTCAAAATAAAAAATAAAAAAAGAGCTGGGGATGTGGCTCAGTGGTTAAATGCCCCTGGATTAAATCCCCAGTACAAACAAAACAAAACAAACAGACAAACAAACATAAAAAGAACAAAACAAAACTTAGAGGAGGAAAGATTTATTTTGGCTCATGGTTTCAGAGGCTTTCAGGGTTTCGGTCCATGGTTGGTATTATGGTGTCCCCCTAAAGCTCAGATGTGAGACAATTTTCAGAGGTGAAGTGATAAGATTATGAAAGGCATAACTGGATGAACTGGGCAGTCATTGTAGGTAAGTGAGAGCAGCAGGAGGGAGTAGGTCACTTGAGGGTGTGCCTTTGGGGTKGGTATTTTGGCCTCGGTGAGCAGAGCTCTCTCTGCTTCCTGGTTGCCACATCCTGAGCTGCTCTCCTTGCCATGCCCTTTCATCAAGGTGTTCTGCCTCCACCGCTGGCCCAGAGGTACACAGTCAGTCAACCATGGACYGAACCTCGGAAACCATGAGCCAAAATAAACTTTTCCTCCTTTAAGGTTGCTCTTGCTGTCTTTTGGTCACAACGATGCAAAACTAGAACATCACTAGATGTTCTGGTCACTAGAACAGCTGGCTAGCTCCATTGCTTTGGCCCTGAGGCAAAGTGGACATCATGACAAAAGGGTGTGGCCGAGGAAAGCTGCTCAGCTCCTGGCCRCCAGGAAGCAGAGAGAGGGGAAGGAGCCAGGGACAAGCTAGTTTCCCAGGGCACACCCTCAAGGACTCACTGCTTCAACTATGTCCCACCTCCTGATAGTGTCATCCAATTATAAATCCTTAGATGAGGTTAGAGCTTTTGTGATCCAATCACTTCCCAGAAGCCCCACCTCTGAACAATACTGCACTGGGGACCAAGCCTTCAATACACGAATCTTTTTAAAAAATATTTATTTTTTAGTGTTGTTGGAMACAATGCCTTTATTTTATTGATTTATATATGGTGCTGAGCATTGAACCCAGGGCCCGCATGTGCCAGGCAAGCACTCTACCGCTGAGCCACAACCCCAGCCCCAATACATGAATCTTTGGAGCAGACATTGAAGATCCAAATCATAATACCATGTGATTCCATTTTTGTGAAATTAAATTAATGGTGATGTAAGTCAAAATAGTGGTTAACAATGAAGGAAATTGATTGAAATGGGCCATGAAAGAGCTTTCAGGGGGGCTGGGAATGTGCTCTGTCTTGGTTTGGATTCAGGTTATATGGGGGTATTCATTTTGTGAAAATTCMTTGAGTTGCTTACTTTTCTGAATGTGTATTTCAGAAAGAAAGTATTTAAAAACTCTTCCACTTAGYTGGCATGGTGGTGTGTACCTGTAGTCCCAGTTACTTGGGAGGCTAAGGTTGGAGGACTACTTGGACCCAGGAGTTTAAGGCCAGCCTGGGCAACATAGTGAGACCCCATTTTTTTCCTTCCTTCCTTCCTCCCTCCCTCCCTCCCTCCCTCCCTCCCTCCCTCCCTTCCTTCCTTCCTTCCTTCCTTCCTTCCTTCCTTCCTTCCTTCTTGGGATTGAACCCAGGGGCACTTACACAGTGAGCCACATCCCCAGACCTTCTTTATATTTTATTTAGAGACAAGGTCTCATTGAATTACTTAGGGCCTTGCTAAGTTGCTGAGGCTGGCTTTGAACTTGCAATCTTTCTGTCTCATCCTCTGGAGTCGCTGGGATTATAGGCTTATGCTACCATGCTTCCTTCTTGGGATTGAACCCAGGGGCACTTACACAGTGAGCCACATCCCCAGACCTTCTTTATATTTTATTTAGAGACAAAGTCTCATTGAATTACTTAGGGCCTTGCTAAGTTGCTGAGGCTGGCTTTGAACTTGCAATCTTTTTGTCTCATCCTCTGGAGTCGCTGGGATTATAGGTTTATGCTACCATGCTAGGCGAGACCCCATTTTTTAAAAAAATATATTTTTAGTTATCGATGGACCTTTATTTTATCCATTTATTTATACTGCTGAAAATCAAACCCACTTCCTCACACATGTGAGGCAAGTGCTCTGCCACTGTGCCACAACCCCAACCCCAAGACCCCATTTCTTAAAACAACAACAACAACAACAACAACAAAACCCCACCACCACCACCACCACCGGAAACTTCCCATCTTTTATGCTTAATAATCAGAACAGTTTACCCAAATCAAAACCTGGCTGATGAAGGGTTCTAAGCAAACCCTTCACCTTATCAAGGGGCAACATGTTGCCCTTTGGATGTACCAGGCTGTCAGGGAGGGAGCCTTGACTGTGACTTTGAGATCCTCCATTCACACACATTACTTTTTCTGATCCACTCAACCACTGGCCTGGGATCTCCAGGTGCCACCCAGGACATGTGGGTAAGCTGGAGTTGGCAGTGACACCCTCTTCTGGATCACTCCTCAGGCTGAGTCCTGTTTAGTTGGTGAACATTGCACTTGGTCTGTCTTATTTCCAGGACATTTCCTCATGCTGCTCAGAGAGAAAAAACAATAARCCATTTGATAAATCATCTTTCCCATAATATTACCTGACATGAATACTGGGCTGATTGGTGACTTTCTAGGATCTATCACCTTTAACTTTGATCCATTCCTTCCTCTACAAACTCAAAAGTAAATTAACAGTTGCTCAGAGATTTTGGCAGAAAAGTCCTCTGATGCCCTTGGACATAGCTCTTCTCAGAGCTCTGACATAAAAGGTGTACTAAGAAAATAAAACAAAACAAAACCAAGGTGAAGAAAAATATTAAGAAAAAATGTCTTTATTTCTTGGGTATGTATAAAAATAATCTAAAACCTGTGTAAGAAACTTACAGTAGCAGCTTCCTGTTGGGCGAGGAGRGTTGAAAGAATGGAGACTGAAGAGGTAGAAAGACTTTTTCTTAAGCATTTTATCATTCCTTAATTTTTATGTTTATTTATTGAGTTTTTTGAAACGGGTCTTGTTGTGTGTCCAGGCTGGCCCTGAACTCCTGGACTCAAGCAATTGTTCTACTTCAACCTCCTAAGTAGCTGCGACTACAGGTGGGAATCACTAAGTCAGGATCCATCATAATTTTTAATGCTGTAAATGTAGGTCGCTCTCGCCGCTGGAATTTTTACTACCCACATTCGTAATCCCAAATTCTCGGAAACAGATTCGCTTAAAAGTTAACATCCTTCGCTTTCTGAATATATACCGAATTCTCAAACCAACAAATCTTTCTATTAGAGCTATTGACACCAAAAGGACCCCCACAGCCTGGGAGGTATAGCTTTGTACAATTCTGCCCTCTAGCCAGAGCCTGGGACAAAGGACTGTGCCCCACCCAGCGCTTGTCCGAAATGTCGCCTTTGCTCCCCACCATGGCACCCAAGACCACAGCCTCTGCACACTCCCCATCCCCACCACCACCACCCGGGTGTGCGTCCGCGGCAGAGGCTGGCGGCCACTACGGTTCAGAGGCAGCTACACCTGACTGTCCCTCTCCTCTGGGAGGCACCCGGTGTGGATAGATGAACCCTCCTCCGGGTTCTAGGAGCCTCAGGGCAGGACCCGTGTCAAGTCAGGGTGGGGATAGACCACCGAGACGGGGACTCCTCGGACCGCCCTGAGCAGCTACTGGCAGCCCGCATTCGCGGCCCCTGTGTACCACCCCACCCCGCTACGGCCTGAAGAACATTTCCCGCGTTCCCGCCCCGTCCCCATCCTCCGCCCCCACGGGTAGGGAAGTGGAGGGACCTCGCGGGCTGGATTCCTGCCTCCGCCCGCGCTGCCCGGCTCTTGTCCCTCGACGGCCGCTGCTGCTTCCCCGGGCTGGTCGTCCTGGCTCCCCCGCACGCACAAGGTCGAGTCCTCGGGGCCTGCGTGGGGACGGATCCGCCGCGGTGGCTGCTCCGAGCCGGGTTGTGCGGGAGGGTCGGGAGGCGGCGGCCCGGCTGCGCGGGGCGTGGGTCGGCCTCTATCCAGTCGGGGCGGAGCCCACAGCGGGCTGCCAGAGCTTAGAGGCCCAGGCGTTCTCAGCCATGGGCAGGGGGTCCCCGAGAACGCAGGGGTTGCTGCTGCTGCTGCTGCTGCTGTCKCCTTGGCCAGTGCCCTGTGCCTTCGTGCTTCCAGGTGAGGATGTGGGCGCCGGTATGCCCCGAGGGCAGATGAGGTGATTGGTGGTTGAGGGGTCCAGCCCTGGTCAGCAGATGGAGGGTCTGAAACACTGGGACCACCTGGCCAAGAGGACAACGCAGGGTTTAGGCAGGTGTCTGTGAGACCTGTCTAGGGGGTTTGACTGCTTGGGGTGGCCTCAGGGCCTGAATTGCCCACACATGGTGCCTTGCAAAGCAGAGGGGCAAGGCACTTTCCTGCCTGTGCAGCTGCAAAGCCCCTCGTCCCCCGTCGCCTGTATTTTCTTCTCTCAAAACCTCCCAGTCCCCAGCTGCTAGGGTGAACTGTACCTTCTGTACCTTCAGTCCTCAGGGTCAGCAAGTCTCACTCCTCCAAGAAGCCTCCAGGCCCACAGGTYCCTAAAGTCCTGCTCTGCCCTTAGGACTAGCCATCTCATTGCCCACCACCCTCCCCTCCCTCCTCCAGTCTCAGGCAGTGTGTATATTGTTGATGGAGTTGCCTTGTTTGGTTAGACAGGCAGGGACTTCTCCAAACAGAAGGTGTCTGACAGTGCCTCAGGAAGGCTTCAGCTCTCTCTTCCCTGTGACCTCTGCAAGCTCCTTGTATGGCTGGGCTGTTAACAACAGCCCCTCCAAGAAGATGGATTTTTCAGAGCCTGTACAAGAGACAGAAAGGGCAACTGGAGCCGATGGGGGCACCAGGATCTGGGCTGGGAAGCCTAGGAGCTTCAGGTTCTACAGCTCTGTACTGAGCCAATACAGATGTATTGGCTCCTGCCCTGTTCCTGCCAGAAAGGAAGGAAACAACAGCTGTCATACTTTTGGGAACAAGCCCTAGGYATTGCACTACTGTCTACCTCCAGAGCTCTAGCCAGGGCCCAGAGGATGGTGATGGACTCTTGAGAGGGGTGGGGGCTATATTCCTCAGCCCAGACATGATCCCTTGTTTTCTATTCCCATGCACCCAGGCACCCAGCTCCATCTTTGCTTCCTTTGCCAATGTGCCAGTGACCAGCAAGTGTATGCAGGCCATGCGGATAACACACCCATTTCCATCCATTGCATCTTCTGAGGCCTGGGACCAGAAGGCTTGGTTCTCCATACCCAGTTAAGCTCTCTCTGGGCTGAAAGATGATCCCTCCCACTCAATGCCTCCCTATAGTTAGCTCCTTCAGCCTCAGTTCTGAAATGGTCCTTCCCCAAACCTGCCATCTGCCTGATATGGCAACTTGGTCATCAATTACAGTTTTCTTGAGGAAAGGTGACTCCTGGAGCTGCTGTCATTCCAGGACTTTGATGCCTACTGTCTAGAAGAGGAGATGGAGAGGAAGAAGTTGGGGTGGCCTGGGAGTAGCTGAGCCACCTACACAAACAACCATCGGCCTGAGAAGCAGGACTACGGCCAGGGCTGGGTGGTGAATAGGGTGCTGCTTTTCTGGGAGATGGGCTTGCCCTARGGACTGAGGATCTGAGGGCTGGCTGCAGGCTCTGGGTGGAGCCTGGCTCCTGCAGGGTAGGTTGGGTGAGATTTGCTGTGGCCAGTTAGGGGGAGGAGAGGGAACATTCCAGAGGAGAATTCCAGGCACCCTTTGAGTAATGCTTGGCTCTGGGAGTCCTCCTAGAGCCCCCTTAGGCACCCCGGCACAGGAACACAGAGGTTCTGTCCCCTGGATTTCCACTTGAAGACAAATAGAGGGGGCTTCTGGGCCAGGGTCCTTGAGCCTACCACCAGCACCAAGCCCCCAAGAGAACACTGGGCATGGTGGACCTTGCCAGACAACATCTGGATGTTGTTTTTCTCAGATGGTGGGGAGACACAGGCAGCCTCTTCTCATAGATCTCTCATACTAAAGGCATCTGCTGCCCAGTCTAAAAATACAGAGGCTGCCTCCTCCTCTTTTTTTTCCCTTCCCCTCTATACTTCAGGCCTGAGCCTCTTCCTTGTGACCTCTGACCCAACCCCATCCCCAGGTCAGGCAGCTCCCAAATCCCCAGCTGAGCTGTTTCTTCCCAGGCTCCTCTGTCTCTCTCCTGCCATCTCCCTGGTGGCCCCTCAGTTCCAGGGTTGCCCCATGACCGCCCACCCATCTTTCTCTAGGCTGAGCCCAGGATGTTGAAGAAGYGTTGAAGAAGCATTGAAGTCCTGTCCCCTAGGACTTCCCCTCCCTCCTTCCAATCCCCCCAAGGTCCCCCTCACTCTGTGCTCTGTCTTCATCCTAGGAAACACTCCTGGGGAGCCTGTTACTCCCCAGTGGGTCTTGGATGGACGACCCTGGCKCAGAGTTACCCTGGAAGAGCCGGTCAGTGCTTCCATACCCCATGCTCAGCATGGGCCCCTGTCTCCCAGCCCTTTGCCCTCCCCCCAGTTGCAGCTTGGCAGGTTTTCTGGGGTCCTCAGAACCACCAGCTCACTGCTTTCTTAGCCCCTCCCCACCAGGCAGGCAGGGTGGGAGACATCTAGATGGCTGAGCCTGCACACATGGAAGTCATTTTCAGCTTCCTCCCCCCATCTTCCCCCTTCCCTCCCTCCTTGTATTATCCAGGCTACCCCCACCCCCACCCTCACCAAGCAGAGATGGGTCCAGAGTTTGTGGGGCCTGAAGCTTTTCAGGAACCTCTTTAAGAAGAAACCAAAATATCTTCCTTTGGCCAAATTTACCAGAACCTGTAACTCTGTAGACACACTGTTGTTTCTCCCAAGACCCTGCCATTGAGTGTCTGAAACTGTGGCCAAGGAGCAGTGATCACTCTCCTGATACCCCCAGATGCAAGCCCATCCCATTTTACTTCTCTGGAACACTGTGTCCAGCCTCTTCCCAACTCCTGTCCATCATACTCTTCCAGAGTAACCATCTCCCATCAATTGCCACAATATCTGTATCACAAACAGGCTAGTAGCCTCAATATGCCCATTTTACAGAAGGGTAAAGTTAGAAAAGAGAAGTTAAAAAGTTACCCATGGTCAGACAGACCTTAGAACCTCAGAACAGCTAAGTTCTGAAAGACCTCAGAACACTGGTCACCCCCACCCAATCCTAGAGAGCACTGAGGTCTGAATTTCCAGGTAAGAAAGGTCAGCTCCACTGTGCAAGGAGAGTACTACCATGAGGGTTGGGGTTACCTGGAGGCCCATTGACTCCCAACTTAGGGTCTTCACTTGGGTCCCACAGACCTCTAGGGCCCCCCTTCAACTGGTTAAGCACAGTGCTAGCCCACACTTTGGGATTGTTCTTGACATACCTGGTGAAGGTGAAGGTTGGGCACGTGCTGGGGTCACACCAACTGTGGGCTTCCTTCTCTGTCTGGCCTGGGCTATGACTAGAGGAGGATCCCATAGGGGCCCTGCTTCAGCCATTTCTGGCCTCTGCCCCCAGGAAAGCCTAGGACAGGARACTAAGCTTTGGCAGGATGTCCTCTCCAACAGTCAGGGTACACTCACGTTTTGGGGTGTAGATGGGGTGCATGGTGGGTGGGCAGTATCACCAGGAAGGCAACAAGCAAAGGCAGCAGGGGCTGTAGAGGGGCAGGGACCTCCAGTGTGTTCTTCCACGTGGGCCACAGCCTTTCTCCCAGTGCAAACCTTTCCCCAATAAAGCAAGTGGCAGGCATTCCAGCCACATGAGCTCACGCTTGGGGCCTTGTGGAGCCTGTGGCTGGGGAAGTGAGGGCTGTCTGCTCCCCACCTGCAGGGAAAGAGCCCCCCTCCAAGACTCTGAGCTCCTTGGCCAGGGCCCCAGCCCAGTGCATTTTAGGATAAAGGGGAGGGCCAGCAAGGGTGAGGGAACACTCTGAAAATACAACCCCCCAGGAATCTCCTGGGCTGCTTCCAACTCTGGGCCCCCAGCCAGGCTGAGCAGACAAGGGAGGGAATATGGGGGTATTCCCAGGGGGTTCAAGAGGCAAAGAAGGTGAGGGGAAAGGGAGGAGGGATGGCTGGCTGAGACCAGCCTCCCTGACATCTAGCTGAGAAAGTCAGAGTTCTCTCTGCCTGGATGGAGTCCATGTTTACTTTGTGAGCTCAGGTGTGGGGCAGGCCTGCTGGAAGCCATGGAAAACTTTGGAAGGAAAGGCAGTTTGCCAGAATTGGGGGTGGAGGAATAAAGTCTGAATTCTACAGGGAATGAGGGGCAGCCAGACACAGAAACAAGGGATTGGGGGTGTAGGTTCTAGCATGCATATAGTCCTAGGTTGAATATTTAGCACCCCCCAAAATATATATATATATATATATATATATATATATATATATATATATATATATATATATATATATTTTAAGAGACAGAAACAAACTCCCAGATAACACAGGGATCATGAGAAAGCTCAGTGACTGTGGCTACCCAATACCTCTCATCTTCTTCCCCCACTGTGTTTCTTTGCTTTTCATGCTTCCTGGGAATAAAAGAAAAGGGAAGACCAAGGGGAAGGCCCAGTGACTGTGGGAAAAGCAGGGTACCCTTCTGGGATCCCTCATCTCTAGGGATAACATGGTATGCCCTGGAAGGTTTATGCACCTTTGAGTGGCTATTGTCACATCAAAAAACATCTGAGTTTGGGAATATCTTTGCATGTTCTCACTTCCACACCTTCCACACTGTCCATGATCCACGGGGCTCTACTGTACCCATGAACTTGCTCACCAGCCAGCTCTACATCCTACCTGCTCCTTGGCAGGCAGGGGACCCAGAGGCATTCATCACAACCTGAACTCCTTTTTGTTCAGATCTTGAAACTCAACTCGGGCTTGGTGGTCTTGGAGGCTGAAGGCCAGGAGCTCCTGCTTGAGTTGGAGAAGAACCAGTGAGTACCTGACAGGGGTATGTGGGAGCCAGGAACACACCTGTCTCTGGAGGGGATCAGTCCTGGGAATAGGAACTAACTTGGAGGCTAGTTAGGGAGAGGGCCTCAGAAAGGGTACAGGTGATAGGGAGAGACTGAAGTGGACTGTTGAAGCTGTGTCAGTCCTGCTGTGGGCTTGCTGTGTGTCCCAGCCTCAGGAGCTGCTGGTGATGGGTGAGCACCACCTAGTGGGCATTCCCAGGACATGGTGAGCTGGAGGAATCTTAGAATTCCACAAATGGACAGCATTCCAGGTAGAAGGGATGGCAGGAACAAAGGCACAATGGCTACAGGAGTCAAAGCACATTCAGGGGTGGCAATTTGGATTCTCTGGAAGGCCTCCATCTATAAAGAAGAAAGCAGGGGGAAATGATGTGGGGAGTCTCAAGAGGGCCAATCACCAAAGGCAATTTCCTGCTGTGTTCTGGATATGTAGAGCCAAAAAATTGAAGCTGTTGAATGAGAAAGCGGAGAGGGGCTCAGGATGGTGCCCTTGGCTGAGTGGTGTGGGTATGCAAGATGGAGTACAGAATCTTGGACCCCCCATGTCTACATTATCAATAGGTATCACTTAGTGTGTAGTAGTTTCATTGCATGGTCTGTTCTGAATGCTCGACATATATTTTATTTTTCCCAATGGAGTCAGATGGACTGGGAACAAACTCTAGTTCCACCATGCCAAACCACAGTTACCCTGGGGTTTAATGTCCCTACCCACTAAATGGTATGTGTGTGCACATGTGTGTGCTCATGTAATGGGTGAGCAAAGCTGGAAAATGTAGAGGAATGACTGGGAGCAGGAAAAGCAGGAATCACAGGTGTTTGGAGATAGTCTGGAGGTAAAGAGGCTGGATGAGTCAAGGATTTTCTTTAGAGAAGAATGATTGGCTATAGTTGATTTCTCCTCATGGAGGAGGGTCTGGAGAAGGTGGGGATGGGGATCGCTACTCAGGTGGTCAGGGCAGAAGCAGGTATAGACAGGTGGAATTTTGTTTTCTCTGGAAGCAGGGAGTGAGCATCACTGAGGGACAGATGGGAGACATGTGGGGTCTGGAGGCCTTTTGAGGAGAAGATTTGAAGGATTTAGGGTGGAGGGAGGCAAGAGGGCTGACTAGATTCCCAACAAGGTAGGCAGGGGCAGGGGCACTCAGGGAGTTTACCACATTTCTTTGGCTCCCAGTCCTACCTCTCAGCAGTGTCTCCAGAATTCTCCCCTTCTGACCTGCAGACCCAGCTGCCTGCTGCAGGCCCCACAGGACCACGAACCCTTCACCTTTGCCTGTCCCTCGCTGGTGCTTTCTATACTCTCACCTCCCACTTCTAAGCCACCGTGAAGCCTCTTTCCTGACCTTCACCTTTCTCCCTCTAGTTCCACGTTTTTCTGAGAGAGACAATGCACAACCTCTCCTGTGCCTTCCCTAAGACACACTGGGTGCCCCCTGTAGAGCTGGTTAATTAGCATTCAGGGAGGATGGTGGAGGGCAACCTAGAAGAGGTGGGCTAATTTCCATGATTCCTCAAACATCCCCTCCCAGCAGGCTGTTGGCCCCAGGATACACAGAAACCCACTACAGCCCAGATGGGCAGCCAGTGGTGCTGGTCCCCAACCACACGGTGAGATGCTTCCAGGGGCTCTGAAGACAGGGTGCTGGGTGCTGGGGATGCACCCTCCTATGCCTACCTCATTCCCCAATTCCCATTCCTAAGGAAGATTGGAGCCAGTTTTCCTCTTTTCCCTCCCTTTGCTCCTCCTGCTTCAGCCCTGGCTGAAGTTTGGGGCTGGGTTCTTTCCTCTCCAGGATCATTGTCACTACCATGGGCATGTGAGAGGCTTCCCTCATTCTTGGGTAGTCCTCAGCACCTGCTCTGGGATGAGGTGAGCAGTACTGGGGGAGGGGTCTGGGATGGGGCTTAAGCAAGAGCTCCCTCATATCCCCCTCTGCACTCCTCTGTTCCCTAGGGGCCTAATCAGGCTCAGCAGCAATGCCAGCTATTATCTGCATCCTTGGCCATCTGAGGATTCTGAGGACCTCTCAACCCACAAGATCTTCCGCATGGATCAACTGCTCACTTGGAAAGGGGCCTGTGGCTACAGGGACCTCAAGGACAAACCAGAAATGGCCAGCCTTCTTCCTGCCCTCCAGAGCAGGGTCAGGGACACAGACATAGTTGGGAGTGGAAATGCAGTATCTGTAGTGCTCCAATTCAGAGGAGACAGGAATGAAGGCCCAGACCAGGGCCACCTTTTAACTCAGATTTTAACTCAGAGGCTGAAGAAACAAATTCTAGTGAATTTTAAAAACTCTTCTTTCTGGAAATTGGGGTTGGTGGTAAAAACTCTAAGCCCAGCATCCTTCCTGTCACTTAGCTTCATTATTTGTCCCTCTATAGGAGAGGCGAGAGTCCCACAGGAGTCCGAGGTACCTGGAGCTGTACATAGTGGCAGACCACACCCTGGTGAGGGGAGACCCAAGGATTTGGCAGGATCTGGGATGAGGCCAGCTCAGCCCCTCACTCCGGGGCAATTCTGTCCTTCCAGTTCTTGATCCAGCACCGGAACTTGAACCACACCAAACAGCGTCTTTTAGAAGTTGCCAGTTATGTGGAACAGGTTGGAGACTGCGGGGAGAGGGCAGGTTCTAGCATGGTAGAGGGGGAGGAGAAGGTCTCAGCTACCAAGAAACACTGGCACCGGTTCTGTGGGGCTCCTGGTTCACGGCCTCAGTCCCACCGCGTTCTGCCCTCAGATTCTTAGGACTCTGGACATTCAGTTGGTGCTGACTGGCCTGGAGGTGTGGACTGAGCAGGACCACAGCCGCGTCACGCCTGACGCGAATGCCACGCTCTGGGCCTTCCTGCAGTGGCGCCGGGGGGTGTGGACTCGGCGGCCACACGACTCAGCGCAGTTGCTCACGTGGGTGCCTTGGACCCTAATGCGGATCGCGGGCAGGAAGGTCCTGACTCACAGTCCCGCAGGGTCACGCCGCATTCCACCCTCAGGGGCCGCACCTTCCAGGGCACCACTGTGGGCCTGGCGCCAGTCAATGGCATGTGCCGCGTCGACAGCTCTGGAGGCGTGACCATGGTGAGCTCTGCCGGAGATGTGGGAGCAGAGTGGCTGGGAGAGGGGCTCGCGGCCCGTAATGACATCCCCATGCCCACCTCCCAGGACCACTCGGAGCTCCCCATTGGCCCTGCTGCCACCATGGCCCACGAGATAGGGCACAGCCTTGGCCTCAGCCATGACCCAGACGGCTGCTGCGTGGAGGCCATGGCAGACGAGGGCGGCTGCGTGATGGCGGAGGCCACTGGGTACGTGCGCAGGGCAGGGGCCACTGGACCTAGGCATGTTTCTCTCTGAGTTTCTGTGTTTATCTCTCAGTTTCCTCTGCTGTATAATGGGGACGATGATAACTACCTGCCCTTAGGGGTTATGAGGCCTCAGTGAAAAGCGGTTTCTCAAAAGTATATAAAGATCAGTTTTGGATCGATCGAGCAAGGCTACTCCAACAGTGGAGGAGCAACACTGGCTTGACATTCCACCGTGGGTCCTTTGGCGTACCCACTCTTGGGCATCACACCCTCCGGAGTCGGGCTCCGGAATGGCGCAGGTAGCTTCTATTTTCTGAGCTCAGCCTCTGGGGGATTCAGGCATCCCATTGATCAGGGGGTGTTCGCGCATCTGGTGGCTGTGTGGCTAACTTCAGGGGTGAGAATCCAACACCAGCCGGGGTTTGGGGGGTGATCCTCGCTTGTCGGACATTCTCCTCTGGCCGGTAGGCACCCGTTCCCGCGCGTATTCAGCGCCTGCAGCCGCCGCCAGCTGCGCGCCTTCTTCCGAAAGGGAGGTGGCGCGTGCCTTTCAAATGCCCCGGACCTTAGGCTCCTGTTGCCGTCGGCGCGCTGCGGGAACGGCTTCGTGGAGGCCGGCGAAGAGTGCGACTGTGGCTCCAGCCAGGTGAAGTCCTCTTGCCTCTGGGGACCAAGGCTGGGCCCCGCTCGTCCCCTCCCCCGAGGTATGGAGCGCTGCGCCCTCACTGTTCCACTCTCGCCTTTCTGATGCCAGAAGTGCCCGGACCCCTGCTGCATCGCCCATAACTGTTCACTGCGTGCGGGGGCCCAGTGCGCTCACGGGGGCTGTTGCTCCGGCTGCCTGGTGAGAGAATGGGAAGCCCAGGAATGACCACTTGGGGCGCTCGGGAGCGGGCCAGTAGGTCTTGGCTAATTGGTGCCCTCTGCTTCCTCTACTGGGTGCAGAGGGCTAGGCTCTCTGTGTGGATCCCCTTGGATCTCCTGCTGGGTCCTCCACTCTAAGCCGAGCTCTTGGCGTGGACCTCTCACTGTCTAGTGTCTCTGCCCTTCCCTAACCGGGTTATCTACGCAGCTGAAGCCAGCAGGCACGCCATGTCGCCAGGCTGCAGGCGACTGTGACCTCCCCGAATTCTGCACGGGAACCTCCCCACACTGTCCCCCGGACATTTACCTACTGGATGGTTCGCCCTGCGCCAATGGCAGAGGCTACTGCCGGGATGGCGCATGCCCCACGCTGGAGCAGCAGTGCCAGCAGCTCTGGGGGCCTGGTGAGACCACTGTGCGCCCTTCACCCTGACCCCTCCTTGTCTCTGCCTAGTTTTCTACTGTGGGGGAAGATACAGTATGGGGGTTACTGGGGCCACCTAATTGCAGGCCCTGTCCTGGCTGCCCCAGTCTGGCCCATTCTTCTTCAGGGTCCCGCCCAGCCCCAGAGGCCTGTTTCCAGATGGTGAACTCTGCGCGAGATGCCCATGGTAACTGTGGCCAGGACAGCGACAGCGGCTTCCTGCCTTGTGCACAGAAGTGAGGAAGGAGTGTAATGGAGGAACCAAAGCTGTGTAAATTGAGGGAAGAGGGACACTCCACACTGCTGACCCTCCTCCACTTCCTCCCCAGGGATGCTCAGTGTGGGAAGCTGCAGTGCCAAGGTGGGGAGTCGAGTCCACGGGTGCCATACATGGTGCCGGTGGACTCCATGGTTCCCTTAGAGGGTGGTGAGGTGGCCTGTCGTGGAGCCTTGGCGCTTCCAGAAGCCCAGCTGGATCTACTTGACTTGGGCCTGGTAGAGGCGGGGACCCAGTGTGGACCTAAAATGGTGAGCCCTGTCCATTCCACCCCTTTTGGGCACATGAGTCCTGTAGCCCAAAGTCCTGTCCTGTACCCCCCCAACCTCAATCACTGCCCAGCTGGTACACTGCCCATAGGTGTGCCAGGACAGGCGCTGCCAGAATGCTACCTTCCAGGAATTGGAGAACTGCCTGACTGCCTGCCACAACCGGGGAGTGAGTTGCATGAGGGGTGGGGATGACCTTGGGGTCCCTGATCCCTGATGACCTTCTTTCATTCCTCTTCTCCTTTGCAGGTTTGCAATAGCAACCATAATTGCCACTGTGCTCCGGGCTGGGCCCCACCCTTCTGTGACAAGCCTGGCTTGGGTGGTAGTGTGGACAGTGGCCCTGTGCAGCCTGAAAGTATGCCATTGGGGTTGGGTGGGGCAGCTAGACAGGGCCAGGAGTGGTGTACCTGCTCAGGACTCAGTGCCCTTGTCCTCTGCAGAGAAGGATGCCTTCCTGCTAGCCATGCTCCTCAGCTTTCTACTGCCTCTACTCCCTGGGGCAGGCCTGGCCTGGTGCTGCTACCGGCTCCCAGGATTCCATCTCCAGCAATGCCCTTGGGGCTGCAGGAGGGATCTCTTGTGCAGTAGGTAGGCTCTTGAGTACCCAGCTCCTAAGGGTTCTGGTTCTTCCTCCTGAGCTTACTTCAGTGGTTCCTGCTCCTCAGAGTTCTGTTGGACCTGTGGGTTGGTGGGAGCTGTGGGGAATTGGGCAGGGGCCTCAGCCTTGCCCACAGGTGCAGAGAGATACCTGAGGCAGTTGGAAAGAAATCTTGGCCTCCCAGGCAAGACCAGGGTGTGAATCCTTGCTCTCACCAGCACTCAGGGCATGACCCTCCCCATCCTCCCTCCATAGCAGCCTCTCTTGATCATATCCTCAGCTTCTCCCACCAGGTGGTTACCTTACCTTTGACTTTGTCCTGATGTGTCACCAGCTCCCACAGTTCATGCTCCCTTGTGTCCCTGGAGGCCTCTCCAGTCACTCTGACCCCTGAGTTTTCAGCCCTCTACTCCTTCCTCTGCCCATATCACTTCTGTTACCCCCTTCAAGTTCCCCAGTGCTGGGCTAAGCACATGTTTGCACTCCATTCCACTGGTCAGCTATGGTGATGACTGCTCTTATGTCAGGAGACTGCCCCAAGCCCAGTTCTCTGTGATGTGGGAGGAGGGTCACATAACACTAAGCATGGTCCACCTAGGGATGCCCCTTTGCTGGGACCCAGTGTCATGTCGGATATAGCTTGGCCTTGAAATGCTTTGGACCAGCAGAAGGAAAGAGCAGGATTTGACCTGGAGATTGGGGCAGAGGGCATCCCCAGCAGCGGCAGGGCACTAACTATGCCCCAGATGCCAGTTGGGAGGGCCTTGGCACAAGGGGTAGTGATAGGGAGTCTGTGGCAGAGAAGAAATGTAGGCCAAGCTTGGCATGTCAGGAGCACTGCATAGGGGTGGCGGCTGCAACTCATCACCAGGGTGGGGTCTTGAGGGCAGTGGCTGACTATTCAGATGAGACATCAAAGGAAGAGCCAAGGGCTGGTGTTAAGTAGAACACTTGCCTAGCATGAGCACCACAAAGTGGCAAGACGCTGGGAGATGGTTTAGGGTCATAAAGGGCAATAAGATCCTCAACAGCAAGGAGTGCAGGCACAGCTTCAACTGGGCAGGGGCAGGGGACATCCAGCCCTCAATGGAACATGAATGTTGCCAACATCTAGAAGGTGCCAGGAGGCTGGTATGGCACCAGAGCTTGGAAGAAACATCAGGACTGGAAGGAAGGGGCCCTGGAGAGTTTGGGTCTCAAATGAACCCTGGGGCCCAAGGGCTCCTCTCAGGAGGGGGCAAGAAGGAGCCAGAGAGAGTGACTTGGAGCAGAAGGGTGAACACAGTCAATGTGGAACTACAGCTGGGCACCATGGTGTGGGGAAGCAGCCCCTGGGACCCTTGCTTGGGGTCACTCTTCCAACCCCCTGGCTTCTGATTCTGGTGCTCAGGCCCAAAGATGGCTCATGCAAGGATAACCCCCTGGGCAGTGTTTACTCCATGGAGTTGGGCCCCACAGCCACTGGAGAGTCCCAGGCCCTGGGTGAGTGAGGCAGCAGAGGACGTGGGGAGGGAAGTGAAAGAGTGGGCTCCTGATCTCTGCTTCTGTCTAGATGGGCCTCTCCTTCCATTTAATCCCCAGCCACCTTGAGTCCCTGTCCCAGCCACAGGGGCTCCTGCCAACTGTGCTCACAGCATTCATCCTCCACTATTGCTCCCAGACCCTGTGAACTCTGCCAGAGCCCAACAGCCACCCTGAGAAGTCTGTGCCCTATAGCTCTGCCTGATCCCCAAGGTAGGTGGGAATCCTGATGCTGAGCCCTCCCTTTCCCATTGCTCAGCCACCTCCCTTTTTCTCCCCTTAGCTTGATGTTCCCTACTCAGGTTTTCGGGCTTGGGTTAACATGGAAAAGGGACAGATCTCTCAGAAAGGCTGTTGGCATGGAGACCAGGATGCTGAAAGCCCCTGGGGTGGGGGCGGGAGAAGTTGTGGTTCTTCCTGGGTCAGGGGTCCTTACTGAAAAAGGACGGGGTCTCTGTTTCATGATTTGCAGCCTGGGGCCCCAGCCTTCAGGGAATAACCCCTGGTTCTTCCATTCCATTCTTACAGGTTAAGTCTAGAAACCAAGTCCCTGTCTCTGGGGAAAGGTGGCATTCTGCTGTGTGACATCTGATGAGATGAGAAGTAAAGACAAGTGACCATTGACTCCAGAAACTTGGACTAAGGGCAGAGCCAGCACCTTCTGGCTGGCTCAGAGTGACTTGCTTTACCTTCTGCAGCTTTTTAGTTTCTTCCACCAGTTGAGCTCTGCCCCTCCTACTCCATAACCCTAAAGCCTTATCAGAAGTTACCTCTGCCATGTTGTCCCCAGCCCTGAGGGCTAGGGTATCCTGGGTACATCCTCTACTCCAAGAATCCATCAGCAAAAGAGTAAAGGTCCTGCAGTCCCCAACCTCTCCCACATTGGGTACCCAGAGACCGTTGTCCTGGGAGCCCGACTGTGTCTCCCATTTTCCCCAGCTGCAGCTCTGTGGAGGGCAGAAATTCCTCGAGCCCTGCCTTTCAGATTTTAGTCCACACTTTCCTAAAGCTTGGCCCTGCAAGAAAAGCAAGCAAACAAGCACAATCGTTGGGACCTTCTTCCTGTCTTCTCTGCCCTGTCTTATGCCCTGGATATTTCCTCAGTCCCCAACCCCATTTCTAGCTCACCATCAGAGGTTGTGGTGGGGTGACATGTAAGACATGCTGTCCTGAGGCCTTTTCAAAAGGTGGCAAATGGTGGGTGGAACATTTGATGGCAGCCAGTACCATAGGCACATACCTGAGCCTAGGAGTGTGTTGCCTGGCTTGAAGAACCCTTTTGGCCTGCCATTTTCTGCCCCCTCCAATGTCCTCATTCCTTTGTTATTTCTTTCAAGAATTGGCTTCTATATCAGGCAGCTGTTGCTGCATAATAAAACTACCCAAAACTGAGGGTCTTAAAACAATAAGCAGCAAAAACAGATTTCAGAGAAAAATGAATTGGGAAAATTTTGCAACCTACCATCCCTTCAGTTAGAAGCTAAAAAAGTGACAGCTTATCTATAGATCTGTAATCATTCCAATAAACCACATAGTTCTTTTTATTTTTGAAGAGTTTTACACAGGGTGATATGCAACTCTTCCCTACTTTGGGGTTCTTGACATGCTACAAGTGAAGGCAAGAACCACTTTGTCTTAATGAAGCCTGTATTGTTACCAGTGGCTTCTTGGATAATAAGATTTGGTGCTAATGGCTTTGGCAGCAACCTAAGATGGGGACCTCTGTGTAGGCATCAGAGGCCTTCATCATAACCCCAGAAATGGTCTGTGTTATGGGGTTAACACTGGGGTTAACACTAGAAAGAGTGCTTCTGGTGGTGCCAGGACAATGGGCTTTTGATGGGAATCATCTTGGAGAAAGGAAGGCTTTTCAGTGAGCCAAAGCAGAAAATGAGAGAATGAACCTCTTCTATGGGGTTGCCATATTGTCTCAGTGGTACAGTCTCCTGCTAGGGTTTTGAGGTATAGGTAGGGGCACTTCCAAACTCTTGTTGCCTATATTAGTTTTCTTTCACTCTGAGACATCAAAATTTAGTGGTTTACAACAAAGACCGTAGTTTATTATGCCCACATTTTCTGTGGTCCAGGAATTCATGTGTTACTTGACTAGGTGATTCCAGCTTAGGGTCTCTCCTGAGGTTGCTATCAAAATGTCAGCCCGAGCTGCACTCATCTGAAGGCTTGACAGGGGCTGGAGGATCCACTTCCAAGTTGGTTCACACACATGTTTGGCAAGTTGGTTCTGACTCTTGGTAGGAGGCCTAATTTCTCCCCACCCAAGCCTCTCCACTGGCTGTGTTGAGTGTCCTCATGTTATGGTGGCCTATTTCCCCCAAAGAAAGTGATGGGGAAGAAAAAGAAAAGTAGAAGTTATCCTTTGTAGGACCGTACTTCAGATGTCACACAGCAGAATGCCATCACATTGTATTTGTTAGACTGAGTTGATAATTCTGATATTACAGGGTTGGGGAATTAAACTTCAACTCTAACAGGAGTGTCAAAGAATTTGAGAACTTTAAAAAAAAAAACCCACAGTGCCTTTAGTTTAATAGCCAGCTATCACTTAGATTATGAAGTCTTTTCCAGCTTTCTTTCTAACCAACTTGCTCAATTTCCTTCTCATTTTAGAATATTTTAAAAAATGTATTGGTTCTCTTTGGTTATATATGACCGCAGAATCCATTTGATATAATATACAAGCATGGAATATATCTGATTCTAGTTAGGATTCCATTCTTATGGATGTACATGATGGTGCAATTCACTGTGATATATTCATATATATAAGTGGGAAAATTATGTCAGATTCATCCCACTATCTCTCCTTTTCCTAATTTCTTATATAATCAAATAAACAACTGGGATAGAGGAGTACTTTCCTAGAATGTGTGAGGCCCTAGGTTTGACGGCCAGCACTAAATAAATAAGTAGAAATAAGATAGAAATAGTCAATTATGGATAGAAGTAATTAGGATAAATAAATACATATATACATATATATATATACACACACACACACATATATATATATACACACATAATTATATATACACACACACATATATATATATATCCCAACTGATTATTTTATATAGATAGATATAGATAGATAGATAGATATAGATATAGATAAAATCAAGCACAATGGTGGTCCACTAATTGGATACATTCAGGCCATGCCCTTTTGGTCAGTAAAGTAAAAAAGTAACCTTTGGGGGAGCAAATCCCATCAGGTCAGAACTTCCTCCACCTAAGAGCGGGGAGATGGTTAGCTGATTCTAGAATTCTAAAATATGAGGCTGTTCTCCTGGAGAGGGATGACTTTGTTGTGGGATTCTCACACAGAGAAACAGGGCACTGGGGGCATTCAGCATAAAGCAGCATTTATTAATGCTGGCACTGGCCTGGCAGATCTGTATCCAAAGACTGAACCCCAAGTGCAGCAGAGCATTGTTTTTATTCCCCTCCCATTGCATGTTAGTTCCTTTGCCTTCCCTATCTATTAACTTGCATGTTAATTAGATATTCTGTACATTAAAATTTCAACAAAATGGCAACAGTGTTATGCATAACAGAGTTTCCCCGAGTCTGCCTGTGCACTGAATGTTCCATGCTGTCTCTCTTTGTTCTGAGCGTGCATGTGCACATAGCTATTCAGCGTGTAATATTGCTCTCTCCCTGTCCCTGAAGAGCCCTTACCACAACTTAACACTCATAACTGATGCTGTCTAAACCCAGCTGAATTCTTAATTTGGGGAAAAACTCTCAAACTCTACTGAGCACCACTGCATGGATCTAATAGAATACCAAGCCAAGATCAGGCCCAACCTTAGGGAAATTCCCTTCTCAACAGGCCTGATAATCTTTGTAGATGGGTCCTCCTGAGTTATTCAAGGAAAAAGATACAATGGATATTGTGTAGTAGATGGAATACAATAAAAATCACAATAGAGTCAGGAAGGCTACCCAGCAGGTGGTTCACCCAGACCTGTGAAGTACTTGCTCTTATCAAGCCCTAAACTTTCTGAAAGGAAAGGGGGAACTGTCTACACAGATTTGAAATATGCCTTTGGAGTTGTCCACACTTTTGTAAAAGTTTGGATTGAACACAGCTTAATTAATAGTAAGGGAAAAGATTTAATATATAAAGAATTAGTTACTCAAGTATTGGAAAGCCTATTATTACCAGAAAAGATAGCTATTGAACTTATGCCAAGACATCAAAGGAACTATAACATAGAGGCCAAGGCAATAGACTAGCAGATGAAGCAGTTAAAGAGGCTGCCCTCCAATCAGACGCCTCTATTTTTCATTTCACCTGTGGACAGCAGTGATTTGAATCATGGTCTGAGTTGTGCTTGGAAATGCCTGTGCAAAGGTGCAGGTCAAGATGGCCCAGTTGCTAGCTCAAGGAAACTCTTTGCAAAGGCTCAGAGTTATCAGTTAGAACTTTGAGTTCACCAACTCTCAGGGATAGAGGATTCTGAGCAAACAAGATGACCCTAATGTATCACCAGTCCTGCATCCTTCATATTGCCTGCTTTGCTGAAACTTTCCCATAAATTACCTGTCAAGGAAATCTATACAATAAACGTGCTGAGCTAGTTCTGGGTCATTTATCCCTCATCAAGGAATGATGAAGCTGGCCCCACCCTTTTCTCTCTATGTGTGTCTGTTTGTCTTTTCTTCATTCCCTATTGACTCTCATCTGATATCTCCTTAATTAATGACTGTGACTAAGAGAGAGATGAGAGAGCTAATGCCATTTACCCCTGTTTTATCCCCTTTCCCAATTATCCCAATATTCAGCCCACAGGAGGAGAAACAAAATAAAGCTGGGAGCCCCCAAGGAAAATGGCTTTTATCCAATGGTAGAGAGATGCTCATAAAGCCTTTTATGGGGGAAATGATGCATACCTTTATGATGCATAAAGGTAGTTCCTGAGACCTACAAGCCATGTTTGATGCTGTATTAAGAATATATGGGGCTGAGACTGTGGCTCAATGGTAGAACGCTTCCCTAGCATGTGTGAGGCACTGGGTTCAATCCTTAGCACCACATAAATAAAATAAAGGCATTCTGTCCATCTATAACTACACAAAATTTAAAATAAAAGAATATATGGGTGTATGGAATTTATTCTGTAGCCAAGTAAGTCAACAAAAGCTATATTACTTATACAAGAACTAATGAACAGGTTTGAG